TGTTGTAAATCTGTTGTCATGGTTTTTTTAAATCTGTTTACGCGGATACTATGATTTAAAATATTTAGAAAATTTTCATTGCAGATTTCACTGAAATGATGCGAGCATTAGGTTATCCTAGGTTAATTTCTATGGAAAACTTTCGCAAGCCCAATTTTCCACTTGTTGCTGAAATTCTTCAGTGGTTAGTCCTAAGGTAAGAGTAATTTATAGTAAATAAAATAAAAAATGTTTAATGCAAAAAAGTTCTAAATGTTGCATTTTAAATATATTATCAAGCCTTCTCGTAAGAGGCGTGCGATCACACGCCTTATATGACCTGCATATAGTTCTTTGTTTTAACAACTTGACCACGCCTCATTGCAAGTTTTGATAATTAGCGTGTTCAAAAAATGCGCTAAAAAAACAAATCAAATTAAAATTGAAATCAATAATCCATAAATTGAAAAGAGAATAAAATCCTTAAAGTTATTTATAACTAAAATTAACCTAAAAAAGTAAAATATTTAAAGAATGATAAAATAAATAAAGGAAAAAACAGATAAATAATCAAAACATTTATTAATTAATGTAAACTTAATTGTAAGCAAAATTGAAAAATGACAGCTCTAATAATCTTTATCATTCCTTCCCATAAATAAATAGGCTAATACAAGGGTGGATCCATAGTGAGGGAAAGGGTCATGAAATTTAATAAAATTTTGTGGTGCAAATTTAAAATTTTGTTAAAAAGGTAATAGGATACAGAGTGCAACAAATAGACAAACGTGCGCGCATTTCTTAAAAGACAAACAGAAAAACAAACATCGTGTTTTTTTTAATTTTGCTTATGCAAATGTTGCCGTTTGATTAAGATTTTTCAAAATGAACACATAACTTCAGCAATTTTTTCAAAATAATATTGCAATCAATACTTTTTTATTTATTACAAAAAACACATATCTAAAATAAATAATAATTAATTTCAAAGACTTTTTTATAAAAATGCCAAAACATAACTACTTTTTTCAATAGCGTCACTTTTAAGTAAAATAACTAAGTACGCTATAGAAGAAAGTAATTATGTTTTAGCATGATTTTTGCATGCGCTCACAAAAGTATGCATAATTTTACTTAAAATAAATGCTTTTGCAAAAACTTCAAAAGAGACCATCCTTAAAAAATTCGATTACTTTCTTTCATTAAAGAAAGCAATCATAATGTTTAAGCATGTTTTCTTTTATGTTTTTAACAGTTACATTAAAAGTTTAAAGCAAACGATTTCATTATAAATAAAGTTGTGCATGCTTTTTTTTTTTAATTTTCTTATTTTCCATAAAGTGAAATAATGTTTGTTTGCATATTAAAAACACTTTTAAAAGTTTTTTTTATTGTGTTTTTTTATAATTAATTTGCGCATGCTTTGCAAATGTGTAAAAAATTGTCTAGTCACCATTCATTTAAAAAACATGATATGTCACATCCTGGGATAAAAAATAGTTGGCAAATGCGACTGTTTCAAAATTTTTGTAATTCTTTTTTTTGGTAAATAATTTCTTTATTAGAATTTATATTTCCATGATAAAACGGTTTGTAATTATTTTTTGATAGCTCCTGTACTCATTTTCTGAATATTTTTTTCAACGATTGCTTTTGTTAAGTTGCATTAAATCACTCAGGAAATTTTGTGGCAGTTTAATTGTAAATATAGAATCACTTAAATTAAAAATCACATTTACATTTGCTTTGTTTTTTTTTTGCGCATTTTTTAAACGTGCTATTTATCAAAACTTGCAAAAAGCCGTGGTCATGTTGTTAAAACAAAGAGCTATATGCATGGTCATATAAGGCGTGCAATTGCACGCCTCTTACGAGAAGGCCTGTATTATTATTATAGTTTTTTTATGTTTAATGAAAAGGGATATCGGTTGGACACTGAAAAATGCAGTTAGCTTTAAATTGAGATTTCTCTATAATCATAAATGCTTTTTATTTTTTTTTTTTTTATTTAATGTGTTTACATCAATTAGGATTTTAACCTAATTTTAAGGGGCTCGATGGGCTGTTTGGTAAGTGATCGAATTTTATAACGGGCTGATGCCATCATTTTGCAAATTTTTTTTTTCACTTTATTGGCAATGTTATCCACTTTTTCTGGAAGTCCTTTTTATTTTGTGATGTAGAAATTGGCAGTCAAGGTCTTCTTAGTGACAAAACAAGAGGACAGCATACCACAGCTACAAATTGCTTGCCACACAAAGAACTCGGATGCAAATTTTTCTTGTCAAATATATTTAAATTGATCATTGACAGGTTTTTCTTTGTTCTCATAGTAAAATTGTTGACCAGGAAGTTGTGAAAAATCTGCCTTGCAATATGTTTTGTTGTCTTCAATTATGCATATACTTTTAGCCACCATTATTTTAACCAACACGTCAAATTCCTTTAATTTCACCATTTAAGCTTTTTCTTATGAAATGCTTTAATTTCAGCATTTTAAAGTACTTTTTGATATAAAAATATGGTCTTAAATTTTCTTGCTAGATCTTGCTGTGACTGGTTCAGATTTCTTGCTATTGAACTGACTTTTGCTATTGAATCGACTTTACTTTTTTGGATTTATCAAAAGTTTTTTTCTTTCCACTTCCAGGTTTTCTTTCGAAGCTTTGAGTGGTCTTAAACTTATTTATAATATCTGACTGTAGATTTTGGGACATTTCTACATTTAGCAATCAAGCAATATGATGTCGATGGATTTTTGCAAAAAAATTTGTAACATTTTTATGCACATCAATTTGTTTCTGAAACATTTTGCAAGTTATTGATTTGTAAACAAAAGTTTATCAACACAACTAATTATGAGGAAGTAAGGTTTAATTAAAAAAATAAAATAAATAAAAAGCATTTATAGTTTTACAGAAACCTCAATTTAAAGTTGACCGGATTTTTTTCATGTCCACTCGATAAACAAAAAAGTTTAATAAGTTACTTAGTCTTTAATAAATTACTTTGTTGGATAGGTATGATCCCAATTCAGATATTCCAATGGATGTTGAGTTTGAAAATGATAGAGTCTTATTCATCAAATCTGTAGCACAATTTATGGTAAGAAAAACTTTTTTTTTTATTTAATGATTATTTGTTTTTGACAAATGCAGTCATACATCTACAAATGTTATAAACAAATTTTCAATTTTTTTTAAAACCTTATGTTTTTTATGCTTAAACTGAAACCTTATGTTTTAGTTAAGCATAAAAATTGAAAAATTTTTAAGTTTATCGAAAAAAACTCTTAAGTTTATCGAAAAAGAAGATCAGATTATTTTATATACAAGGTGCTTCATTGGAAGATAAGCCCCAGATATGACAGTAGCATTCTATTCAAGGACAGATATGAGATTATTAGAAATAAAGAATAGAATCCAAAGTAAAAAAGTGGCAAGCATGATAAAGAGGTGCAACCTTAGGATATGCTAGTTTTGCAATTGATTGTATATATGGTTTCCATGAACAATCAAAAGTAAGAGTTAGTTCTAAAAGATAAAAGGTAGATGACTCATCTTCCGGTAATGTATTCAATTACATTACATTTCATAAATATAAGAAGATCAAGATTGTTGAGATAACGATCAGCTAAAAAAAGTTGAGTTTTATCAGAGTTAAATTTCACCAGCCACTGTGAGCCCCATGCTGTAGCAGAAGTGAGATTCTTTTCAAGCTCAAATTTCCCCTCCAAGCAATCAGAGAGTGTTGGCTTCTTATTAAGATAGAAATAAATGGTAGTATCATCAGTGAGCAATGGTACCATAAATGTAAGAATTTTTGGCAGATCGTTAGTGTAAAAAGTATAGGGCAAAGGATAGTACCTTGAGAAACCCCTGAAGTTACATGATATAAAGAAGAGTGCTGTCCATTAAAGACAACTTCTATACTACAATTGGTAAGGAAAGATTCAATAATCTTAAAGATGTTTTCTATTGAAAACTGAAGTCTGTTTACTATTGCTAAAAATAATGGATCCTAGCAATAGTAAACAGACTTCAGTTTTCTGGAGAATTGTTTTGCTGATAGAAATGAAAATAATGATTGCTGATAGAAATGAAAGTAATGGAAATTACAGCAGCACAATGAGAGGAAAACTGTAGAGAAGAGTGAGGCATGACTTAAAATCATTGATTGGGAATAAAAGCCTGAATCCAAGAAGTTATGTAAGATGAACATTTGTCAGCAAGAAGACAAAAGATTTCTACCCAAGTGGCATTATGAAGAAAATCACAGAAAGTGTTCCAGTCAGCTTTGAGGTAATACTTTGGGTACAGCTTTAAAGTACAATGATGAGAGAATTCTTATGATGAAAGAAATAAGATAATAGTTTTATAGAGATAAAACTGTGATCAGAAGCACCTAGGGGTGAATATGGAGAAACTGGGCACTGACTAGGATCAGAAACAAGGCATAAGTTATGTAGAGATGCAAGGTGTTCGCAAATAGCGGATTAGTCTATCTAATGGTTGATTGGAGAAAAAAAAAAGAAAAGAAAAAAGAGAAATTATTTGAATAAAAAGAATAAAACTTATCAATATAAAGGAAGATAAAAGGATTTGCAAATCATAGAAGATTAGAAGTTAACTTTTTGACTTTGCAAGTCAAAAAGTGAACTTCTAATTGTTTGTATAAAAAAAAGTTACTAAAGTCATAAACTATTAGGCTGTGTTTATCGCCATCCTATCATGGATATTAATGAGTTTATTGTTTCATATCAAGCTATTCTATTTGAGAAACTTGGTGTTGAAAAAAATTAAACTGACTTTATAATGGGTGATTTTGATATAAATGTTATAAAAGCAAACTCAGATAACCCGATCTCGGAGTATTTGAACACCATTGCTTCAAACAACTTTCTTCCTTTTATATCTTTACCAACAAGAATTACCAATCACTCAAGTACTTTGATTGATAATATATTTTCTATATATATTCGACTTCTAAAAATATTTTTTCCAGCAATCTAACTATTAAAATATCAGATCATTTGCCACAGTTTCTAATTTATTCATTTTTTTAAAAAAGAATTATTAGTTCTCATAAAAGCAATATTCTTCTTCGAAACTTTAAAAAATTAAAAGTGAAGAATTCAGGAATGATTACTTGAAAACCAAGGAATCAAAGTTTCCAATAGTAATACAAACACATCATATAAAGAATTCTTCACTAGCTTTAACTAGACAAACATGCACCGCTAAAAAACTAAGTAATCGTAGCTTAACTGGAAGCCTAAAACCATGGATTACTTCAGCAATTTTAACCTCAATAAAAAAACAAAACAATATATTTAAAAAGTTCTATAAAACAAAAAATCTTCATGACAAACTAATTCTTGAAAAAACTTAAAAAACCTATAGAAATTTACTTGTAACACTTATTTGAAGAAGCAAAAAAACCACTTTTCTAACTACTTTACTACCAATTGCAATAGTTTGAGAGCTACGTTAAAGGGTATTAGAACTCTTTTGAATATATGTTTGAATGATATCTCATATCCATCTTGTATATCTTCAAACAATACAATTATAAATGATCCAATTAAAGTCTTGGAAATTTTCAACTCCTTTTTTATTTCAATCCCTGAAGAACTGGAAAAAAATATTCATTCATCTCATACTGATTTCCATAACTATTTAAAAACATCAAACCCTAACTCATTTTATTAAACCTACTTAAAAAAATGAAATATTATAAGTTATTCTTTCTCTAAATTATGGCAAGGCTTGTGGCCCAAACAGCATTCCAATCTTTATTCTAAAACATCTTGCTAATAATATTTCTTCAGTACTTTCTAAACTATTAAATCTTTCATTCACTACTGGTATATTCCCTAATATTTTAAAAAGTACATCTGTCAAATTATTTAAAACATTATTATCAAATATCAGCAAATTCTTGAAGAATTAGTTTATTTCCGTATCGACCACTTTCTTGATAATTCTAAGTGTCTACGGCCGCTAGTTTAGATTTTGATTATTCTTCATTCGGCTGGCGTCACTAATCTTTTATGCATAAATAAATCACTTTTACAGCTTTGTAAAAAAGTTAATTCAGATCTCCATCATTTGTGTCATTGGTTAAATAGTAACCGTATTCTCTAAATATCAATAAAACTGAATTTATTACTTTTCACCCTCCAAAAAAAAAAAGATTGATAGTAATAATGTGAAAATTAAAATTAATGGTGAAAGACTTTTCCCATCTAAATATATAAAATACCTCGGGCTATTTCTTGACAAAAACCTATCATGGTACTATCAACTAATTCAAGTAAGTAAAAAACTCTCACATGCTTATAGTATGCTATCATTACTACCATGCTACCAATAGTATGCTGCCATTAATACAACACTATGTTCCCCAATATGTTCTAATATCAATTTACTATTCCTTGTTCTCCTCACATCTAAGTTGTTGTTGCACTGTTTGGCGTCCAAAGGTTTTTTATTACATCGTATAAACAGTTTACAACGCACTTCCTTAAGAATTATGACATTTTCTCCATTATGATCTAATACCAAAGACAGGTTTTCTGAATTAAAAATTCTAAAATTTCAAGATCTTGTAAAGCTTTATAATTGCCTCTTTGTGTTTGATTTTCTTCAAAATTAACTACCAAATTCATTCAATAATTTTTTTTTATTAAAACAAGTGAAACGCACATTACACTTGAAATACTGAAAATACTAATTAGAACACTGCCTTTTTTAACACTATCAACAAATACATCAATGTATTTCTCACTGGAACCAAATAATACCATTTATAAAAAAAAAGACTTTAATTAATTACCCTTTTATTACCAACATTCTTCTTCTCAATCGAAACCAAATTAAGAAATTTTTATTTGAGTATATATTTCATGAATGTTAATTTTATCTTTTATTATTATTATTGCTTTTTTTATATTACTGTATTTATAATATAGTAATATAAAAAAAAAACAATAATAATAAAAAACACATAGTTTGCCGGCGTGGTGCAATTCGGCCATTAAAATTGGTTGGCAACAATGAATAAATCCATTATTCTGTTGGAATTAATTTATTTTGGGATTCTGTTGGAATTGATTTATTGCCAGCAGCATTAATGCTGCTGGCAATCGTCTAGCTCCATACATTATTTTTAAATCAAAAAAATGTCTGTACAGAGATTGGTGTGTAAGTGGTCCAGATGATGCCATATACGCCATATCTCTATCCAGATGGAAGGAAGATAAGCAACTTGTGCAGTGGCTCACTAAAGTGTATGTTCCTGCCATTAAAAAAATTCCAGGTAATTAGTTCAATTTAATTTTAGTTATCTAATTATATTTATTGAATTTTACATTTACAAAGGATTACATCTATCTAATTATAGTTATCTAATTTTATTTTAGTCGTAGATGGACATGTGAAACATGTAACTTATCGGGTTGTACTTATTTGCATGGAAAATAATATCTTGTTAATTTGCTTACCACCTCACTTGTCTCACATTCTGCAGCCACTAGATGTTGGTGTTTATTGCCATGTCAAAAGAGTTTGGTGCAAATTACTTTAAAAAAGCAGCAAAGCAAGCTAAAAAACAACGTAAGGTAAGCTTTAATGACAAACAGCAAATAAACCAAGCAACAAGACCAGCCAAAATATTAGCTGCAAACCAATTCAAGTGTAAAAAGTGCCGAAAAGTTTTAGGCGAAGCTTCAGCAAGTCAAATTAGTGAATGGTACCAGTGTGAAAAATAAAGTTGCAAGGTTTAGCTATGTCAAACATGCATACCAAAGCGATACGTAAATGGCGCTGAGTTTTATTGCACCAAAAAGTGTTGCACAACTGAAAACTCAACTCAACCTCTAGCACCTCTAAACGACTCAACATCATCACAAGAATAAAAGAGTCTTTACAAATTAAAGGAAGATAATCATCACCACCAATTTAGTTTCAAAAAGAGCAAGTAGGTCTGGTGAACTTTGCAAGAGATAAGATTCAACAGAGGAAAACTTACTTCAAAGACCACGAATGTTAGTGAATTATAGGTTTAGATAACTTGGTGGTGGCAATGGTTTTTTGTGTTTTATAGTTCTTGGCACTTTAGTCATTTTTAACTTTATTAAAGAACTTAAATCAAGGCACAGATAATACTCTATACACTATTTAATAGTCCAAGCAATTGCCTCGTTACTATTAATAAACCATAAGCCATAACAAAGAGCTCCAAAGGTGGATAATAAACAAGGATACCATCCATGCACAACATGACACTGTTAATACACTGATATTTTACTGCTGATGATGGAATCAACTTTTCTAGGAACTACTAAAGAGTTTGGTAAACCTCACTACCAGCTAGCTTCTGAACCATAAAACTGAGGTTTAGAGCTGCTCATTTATTAGGAGATAATAGAATGAGTTGCCTTGTCATAAAAACAGAAACACAAGCAAAACCAATGCATTGAGCCAAGAAGATCCAGCATTCAACATCCTAATTTGGAAACAATGTATTATAAATACATCTACACCAGCCTGATAGATGAAGAAAGGGTGTGAGGCGGGTCAACAAATAGAATGTGATTATTTCTTTAGACAGACAATATAAAACTACAGCTCCAAAAAATCTACAAGTGATTGACAGGATTTTCTAGTTAAAGATGTGATGGAAACAGTGGAAGTTCTTAAAAATTACAGAGAAGTTCCTCAATGCATTTCCGTTTTAAATAATATAACTTCGAATGAATGTTACTATGGCCAAACATTTAAGTATAAAAACACTGTCCTTTATTTTCAGTACTTTTTGGGGTACCAAAAGGTTCCTGTATTGTTCCTTATCTATACTAATGATCTTTCTGATAATTTACCTCTGAATTTTCATTGCTGATAATTTTGATTAATTGGAGCAGACAGCTGATCTTAAGTCTGATCTCTCTTTTTTAACAAGTTGAGGCTTACAGTAGCTTGTGAATTATAAACCAAACAAAACTCAGTTATTTACTGATAACATTTATTGCAATGTTTTTGATACTATTATATTGATGAACAACACACTTACTGAGTCCTCTACTTTTTGTCTTGGATTATCATTCACAACTGATCTTTTATGGAAACTATGTATACAATCCATTGCTAAGTTATCATTTTAGGTATCATTTTATTTGTTTCATTGAGCAAAACTCAATCTTGCATGACTTGTAATTCAGCTAAGTTGTGTATTTTTACTGTGAGTGTTCCTACTTTCTCAAAAAAAATTTATTCCTTAAGTTTTGTTTTTTTTTGTTTGTTTTGCAAATATCAGTGTTTTGGAATTCTCTCCCATCTTTATTTTCTGACTCGTACAACCTTTAGTTTTTAAAACTTTTTATCTCTTTAGCTCTTGTTTTTGTATTCGGTAGAAACATAAAAAATATATATAGTATTTTTTTAATATTTTTATTATAAAGTGTTTATATTTAATGATATTTCAATAATGTTATTCCTTTTACAATATTTACAAACCAGCCAATCATATTTAATAGAGTTAATAGGAAACAAAATTGATAATTGTAGTTAACCCTTCTGTTGCTTTTTTTCACTCTAAAATATTTGTTTTTGATGCTTTTTTACAAGTTTTTTTACATTTTCACTGTCTAATTCATTACTTTGGAGCAAAGACAGAAATGACACCATATTGGTTTCAATTATTCTAATCTTTTCGATTATGTTTTTAAATTTGACATACTTATATATTTATATTTATTATAATCAAGAAAAAAATACCCTTATTTAAGATAGGAAACTATGTTTGGATTAAAACTTTTTTCTTTGATTAACTATAAAATACAATTGTAAAGGTTTGGTATCTTCTTTTTAATGATTTATCAAAAAATAAAAAAATATATAAAAAAAGCCTAAATCATTAGGAAACAATGTCATAGTTGAATAAATATGTCTTCTCTACAAGGGGTCTTAAGACTAAACCTTACCTTGTCCTTGTTAGTATTGAGCTCACTTAGTACTACCATTTGTTTCTTCTAAATTAAAAAGTTTTAAATGAGATAAAGATAGAGTATTAACTTTACATGGCAACAGTGACATTAAGTTTTTTATGGTAATGCCACTGCTATAAAAGTTTTTTTCTATTCTCTTAATACTTTACTTACAAGTTTTATAAATACCATAAATTTTAGCTTGTTCTTTGTATGGTGACCTCATTCATAATGTTATCTATTTTGTTAAATCCTCATAATAAATTCTTAAAAGAATTTGACTGTTTTTATAACTGTAATACTGTAATACTATAAAAAATTTTAAGACTTTTTTTAAAAGATGCAGCACTTATATGTAATTAATTTTTTATGTTATAGGAAAATTCAAGTCCATGAAAATTTTTTAATTTTTATAAATTAAAATTAAAAAAATTAAAAAATAAAGCTATTACAAATAACAATACAGAAAAGTTTTTAATTTACTTTTATGTTAACAAAAAATGAAAAAACAATCATTTTTTACAAAATTGTTTAGGCTTTAAGGATATAAAAAAAAATATTTTGTTAAAAAAAAAAAAAAAGTAAATATTTTGTTAAGTACTATTTGTTTTTTGTTTAGCTGCACTAAGCCTTTTGAGCAGGTTGTTAATCAATTTTTGTTATGATACGAGAGTGGAGTACAAAATTGTTTTTTTTTTTCTCCTGCAGATCTTTTTTGTTTTACTTGTTCAGTTAGATAATTTGATAATTTTTCTAGTGGATTTAAATTTTATTTATTGGATTAAAATGTTTATTTTAGAAAATATTTAGAAAATCCCTTATTTTTGAAAGACTCTCTTGAAAATATCAACTTTTTCTAAATCTTTCATTGGAGAATTTAAATGTTAAGACAAGCATCATTGTATGCAATTGAAAAGTGTTATCAAATTATTAAAAATTGTTAAAAAAAAAGTTTTGTGACATTTGAACATCCAACCAGTTTAACTAGTTGCAACCAGTTTAAGACCAAGAAAAGTTTTGCTGAAAGATTGTAGGAATGTTAAATCAAACAAGACAGCACAAAAAAGTGAAAGTTATTTACTTACAACATGTGAGTTCTGTCTTATTTGTCTATTTGTAATTCTGTCCTATTATATCCTATATTGAACCGAGCATTACAAAATCAAATTTAACCCATTCAGTGGACTGAACTGACTTTTTTAGGTCATATTTATTGCTGGTTGTATTGACTTCAGAAAAAATTCAAAGAGATTTCAGGGTATTTTCTGATTGAATTTTTAAATTTAAATTACGGTAATTTTTTATACATTATCTTTCAACATTTTCTTTAAAGACTCATAGCCACTGCTACCAAGTAGGTTACTTTTTTAAGTCCTTGTTTTATGTTTTTTTTTGTCAACTCTCTTTTAACCTTATAAACTATGAAACATGAGCCTTGGTGAACAAGGCTATCACATGTAGAAACAGTAGGGCACCATTTTAAGGATCATGGTATGTAATATTTAACTAGGTTTCATTAAAAGTTATCAATTAATGTCAGCATTCAGTACACAAAGCTTATTTTACTATTATATTAGTAAAATAGTATGAAAATTATTACTCAACCATGATATTCTGTAGACAAACTTTAAGCTGAACTTTTTGACTAAAATTATTCAAGCAATAAGATTAATATTTCAAAAAGTTTTATTTTGCATTTTAATTCAAAAACAGTTTTAATATTTTTGCAGGCACTCAAAGCACACATAAAGCTGAATACAAAACGTTTATATGAAGCAGATGGTTTGGCAGTAAAAGAAATGATCAAAATTACCACAGTGTTGTATCAGGCTGCAATGAAATTAAACAAATCTGGAGATGTAATAAAACTTTTTTATTGTTAAACTTAGCAAAGTTAAATTTTTTTTTCTTGGGTATTTACTGTTGTGTGTGTAAATAGTCAGTAAGTAAATAGTCAATAGTAATTTATTTCGGATTTTTTCCAGTTTCGATAGGCGATCCTTTTAATCTAAATTTTTAAAAATCATTTTGTATGAAATAACATAACAAATTTGTTTATAAAATGAACAAAATTATTTTGTATGAATCAATATTATCTTCTATAATAGGTGAATAAAAAAATGTATTAAATTATAAATAATATATAAAATTATAAAATTCCTATGAAAAATTAATATATTCTATAGGAGGAACATGGAACATCTAAATATCACCCAGGGAAGTTTGATTTTAATTCAAAGGTAAAGATTTTTGTTGTTTTCAGTTATTTTATTTATGTAATTTTATTTTTATTATACAAAATTTCTTAACAGTACTTATATTTTAAAACATGGTCAGCTTTCTGATTTAAAATTGGCAAGACAACTTGCTTCAGAGATAACTGTTAAAGGCTCCAGTTTACATCAACTTCTTGGAAGAGAAGTAGAACTAAGGGTAAGAAGCTTTCTGTATAAATACTAGTCTCATTTTATCCCTGGAGATTATAATTTTTAAAATAAGTACACATCCCAACTAAAAAAATTTGTCATCATTATGAATTTTCTATAACAGAGTATGTAACAAGAGTCTTGACATACTCTGATAGCAAAAGTAAGGTCATATGTTCAACTCCATAATCTTAACTTTATAACTCCTTAATCTTGGTCATATAATAAAGTTTTATATAATTCAAGTTTTTGAAAATAATAGTAATAGTAGGTAAAATTATAATTAATATTAATAATAAATATAAAAATATGCAATAGTGAAAAAGTAAGAAACAGTTTTACTGGTAGGGTAGTTAATACTAAAAAAACACCTCTGCCTAAAGGGTGTTTATTTCTAAATCACTGAGTCACGCCTTTACAAGGGGTGTATTACACAAGTTGTATTTTTTTTTTAAATTACCAACAAAGTTTTTTTTTGGTTAAGATTTTAAATTGTATAATTTCATGGTTATGTCTTCTAAAGGCTCATTTAACTTAACTAATTAAATCACGTTTTTATATTCATAATTTCATCTTTTTTTTATTATAATGCTACATTAGTGTTATATTGTTTTTTTTTTTCATTTTCAAATGATTTACTTAAATAGGCAATTCGCAGAAGTTGCATTGCACAACCAATGGACTTGAATGAAATTGAAAAAAATGTTACAAATGTGATCAAGTCTACTCAGGTAGATACTAATAATTGATACTAATACACTCAGGTGCAGACTAGTAATTGAAGTCTTTTTAATTTCACCTATTTTTTTTTTCTTATTTAATTCTTTTTTTTTAATGATAGGCTGAGATTGCTAAAACTCATTCGCAATTAGATAATATATCATCTGATGAAGCAAACCTCCAAGCTAAAATTGAAAAACGGAAATCAGAGTTGGAAAGAAACCAAAAGCGGCTAAAAAGTCTCGAAAGTGTTCGACCTGCATTTATGGATGAGTATGAAAACCTTGAAAAAGATTTGCAAGAGTTATATGCTGTAATTTTATTTTGTAAATCTTGGCTTTTAACTTTGCATTTAGAATTCGAAACAAATAATAAAATTAAGTATAAAATAAATAATAAAGTCAAGTTGCAATTTTTATGCGTGTGACCACGTGGGCAACTAATAAAGTAAGTATAATTGCAAAGAGATAAATCAATCATTTTGTCGATGTTGTTTTGTTATTTTTAGTCATACATTGAAAAGTATCGCAATTTAGCGTATTTGGAACGAGTCAACGAAGATATGAACAAATCTGAACAAAATGATGATGTACGAATTAAATAGTCGTCAATAGTAATAATGTCTTATAATGTCTTATAAATAGTGGCTAATAGTGTCTTATCTCTAGTAACCAATAATATATAAACAATGGTAAATAGTAATCAGTAAAAATAAACTTATAATGAGTTTTAAATAAAAATTTTAGCTTTCCATATTTTTCGTAAATTATTTTGCATTATGTATTTAAAATTCATAAAATTTTTTTTTTTCTTTAATATGCTTTGATTTAAAGGGCTCAGAGAACCCGATTAATATGTCCCTTAAAGCTCGTGAAGAAAACGAAAATCTTATACGAGGAAATCTCACATTGGGTTCTAGTGATGAAGATGAAGAAACTCAAGAAACTTCAAATAAAGATGAAAAGAAGCAAGGTAAATTTATAAAAGATTTTATATATTTTTAAATCAAAATATTTGAAAAGTCTGATCATAATATTTCTTTGGACCGTTTTAAAAATAGTTTATTTTGTTTAGTTGTTCCTAAACCAAAAATGATTGGTTCATTAACTGGAGATCTAGAAACTGATGACGTAAGTTTTTTTTTAATATGAAAATTTATTTAAACCAGGATCTACTACATTAAAAGAGACATAAAGATTTAAGTTCATTAAATTTATTGCATTAAATTTTTTACTCCAAATCAGTTCAATAATCTTTAATATTCATAAATAAATACTGAATCGATGTTGATCAAAAAATCAGTTTTTGCTCAATAATAACACAGAGCAAAATCAAAACTTGTTGTCATAATTATTATATTTATTTTAAAATATTCATACATTTTATATTGCAGAATTGTTGAAACTCTTTGCATTTAAAAAAAATTCATGAAAGAGAAATGTTTCATCTTTTATGTAAATGTCCAATTTGTGTTTAATTATCCAATTTTCTTTTATATGTCCAATTAGCTTTTAAGCGATTGTTTAATTGAATTAGAACACGAAACATTGCTAGAAAACTTCTTTTAAATAAAACATTTAAAAAAATATTTTAATAATTTTAATTTGTGCACAGGAATCAGAAGGAGGCTCTACTGCAACAGAGGATGAAGATGAGTTACTAGAGGGGGAGGAAGACGATGAAGAAGAAGCTAATGATCAGGCAAACGATAGTGACGATAATTTTTAAAAATGTTCAACAAAAGAATAAAACAAGATGATGTAGAAAATAAATAAACTAATAAATAACTTAGAGTTAATAAAAAATAGAATAAAGTGTATTAGAATTTGAATTAGAATGTATATATTAAAATTTTATTTGGTGTGAATAAATGTGTTTATTTATTATAAATTTATAAATAAATCTTTTTAAATTCTAAAATTAAATCTTGAATATCTACATTCAGAATGAATCGTTTCTTTAACTTTCTGTACGCTTGTAAAACATTAACACAATTCTATAGAAATTAAAAAAAAAATTTATGAAACTTAAAACTTAACAGCAAAAATATGCGCTCTCTTCAGAAAGCATTCCAATTGGCAGAGCCATACGTCTAACAACATCAGGTCTATCGATGAGTATTCGATAAAGACTTTGCTGCATGTTATACCATGGATAAAGTTCCTTCACACCCCGTTGGAAGTAGGTTCAAACCATTAAAAATATCCCAGGGTCATCTGATTTTTTGGATCCGTACTGACCTCTACTTTCTGAAAATATAATTTCAAGGTCCAAGAAAAAAAAGACATTGTAAACCAAAAAAAAACAGCATTTTTTCTTGTATATCCATTGAGTAGTTTATTCGATCAGGAATTGTTTGTTTTATTTGTTAATAATTTACATGTTCTAATATAAATTATGGCAACTTATGAACAACATGAGGAGGATAAAGAACAAATGAGTAAACTATTTCATGAAATAAATGTAGAAATCGTCCCAACATTCCAAAAAAGGCTAAATACGAAACAAACGGGAAAACCGGGACCAGTATTAGTGATTTTAAATGAAGATTCTGAGAGAAATCCAATTTAAGCAAAATCTAAATTATTAGGAGAAAGGCAAGATTACAAGGAGGTTTTTATTTCGCCTGATTTAACTGAAGCAGAGAGAATGGAAAACTATGAGCTTAGTAAGAAACGTGACAAAATGAATAGTGAAAGAATAGCAACTCGCCCTTTAGATATGCGATCCGTGGAAATGGAATTGTCAAATTTAAAATACAACTTAACACGACAATATAAAATTAGTAAGTTTGTTATCATTTAATGTTTTATATACGAATGCAACATCTTTAGTAAACAAAGTTGAAGAATTTAAAATCTTATGCAGTTATAAAAATCCTCAAATAATTGCTATTACAGAAACCTGGTTTAATAAGACATCGGAAATTTATTTAGAAAGATATTCTTTGTATAAACAAAATAGGGGGATGGGCGTAGAGGAGGAGGGGTTGCGCTATATATAGATAGCAACCTAATATCTTATGAGGTAAACGAAGGTATATTAAATAGAAGTAAAATTGAACAAATATGGATCATTATAGTTGCAAATGATAAAAAATATTTAATTGGTTGCGTGTACAGACCAAGCGAACAAGTAGATATGCTTGAAATGAGTCAAATATTCACAGAAGCTTGTAAATTAGTAGAAAAAAATAATTTTGCAGATTTGTTAATTATTGGTGATTTTAATTTTCCAAATGTAAAATGGTCGAATGGATACGTTAGTGATATTTTAGTAGGTGAAGATTCTGTTGAAAATGAATTTAATAATATTATATATGAATGTTTTTTGTACCAACACGTATCAATCCCAACCTTTCAAAATGCACAATATGTTACAAAAAATACCTTGGATCTTATTCTTACAAAAAACAATGAACGAGTCGATCAACTTGAGTCTAACCCAGTTCTAGGAAATATAAATCATGGACATTTGGTTTTAACTTGTAAATTTAACCTTGATGCTATTGCAATGGAAAATTATCCAAAGTATAAATTTGATTACAGTAGATGTGACTATCCACAAATAAGCCTAAGTATTGATAAAACTGACTGGAATTATTTATTTGATCGGTTATCAGTTCAATTTATGTCTGATCTGTTTATCAAAAAAATTAGTCAATCATGTAATGCTTTAATTCCAATAATTGACGTAAAATGAGGCTATCATATAATTCTTTTTTAAGCAAACAAAAACAAAATTTTCATAGACTTCATAGATTTTTTCACCATTGTCAATAATTTTGAATTTCTCCTTCAGCTTCTATATTATTTTTTTCCCATGCCAACGATTTAAAAACATCTGATGATTTTTTAAAGGTGCTGTTTAAATATAAGTTAACTGAATTTTGATTTAATCTTCTAACATGTTGAACCTTTAAAGTTCCTTGAGTATAAACGCTATCATTTAAATTCGGTGACTCAATATCTTTTGTGTCTAAGTAGATTACTGTAATGTCTCATAGCCGATCAGCTACTTCAAAAAACTATTTAGCATTTTCAATTAAAACTTTAGATGACAAAACTTCCCTGTAAACTTGGTTTTTAATAGTTCCACCAATTCCATCATGGGGTTCTATAAAGTGATGTGCCTCACCATAACACCAAGTCAATGCAATATTTTCAGGGTAGTAAGAGAAGGACCGAAAGATAAATTGAGATTGGAACTGACCATTTTACCATTCTGAACTGTGATACTTTTATGGAAGTATCACAGTTCAGAATGGTAAAATTTTTTTTGTTCACCAGTAGCTTTTTCTTGAACCTTTGCAAACAACCTTTTTTGAGGTTATCCAACGGTAATATGGAAAAACATTAATTTTTTTTTAATTCTTGACACAAATCAGATATTATGGTTCTTCCAGGACATTTTAAACAATTGCCTTTAATGCATATAAGTGACTTGACAGAGCATACACCAAGTTGCACAAGATCCAGTGGTTCAGCTGGCAGATTTTCAACAATTTTATTTTTTTTTTCTTCAATAAAATATTTTTTTAAAAGCAAAAAATGACCATTTTCACAAGTTTCACATCGACAATTCTCTTCTGGCGTTTTACTTACCATAATCAGGTTATTTTTAGCATAACTTCTCGTAACTGATGATAAGTATAAGAACTTCATAATAACTTCTCGTAACAGATGATAAGTGATTTTAATGTCATTCTCTTTATTAAATAAGTAAACAAGTTCTCTGTATGTATAAAGCATGTAATGCTTTAAACAATAGACTTTAACACCATTAGATTTTCCACAGTAAACAGTATTTTTCCTGCCTGAGGAACAATAGCTTATATCTGGTTGTTCTAAAAAATGAATTACTTTTTCATTGTTTACCTGTATCATTGATGGCCTTCCAATTTTAAATGATAGCTTTCTTCTAGAATTATTATTATTTTTTTTTTGTTGATAAACGTTGCACAAGAGCAGATAAAACTTTAACTTGAAGTGGACTTTTTTGGCATTGCTCGTTTTACTTTTGCTAATAAACGATATACAACTTGATTAGTTGTTCCATCTTTGTGTACTGTTTCCATCTGAAAATAAGATAATTCTTATCCCAAGAAAAAAATTAAGTAAACAAAAACATATTAATAAAATACAAAAGGAATTATAATGAATCATATAAATAACATCCAAAAATCAAAATAAATGGCATAGTATTACAATAAAAGCAAAAATATTTGCAATTAAAAAAGTAAAATAATATCTTAACATTTTTACTGTTTTTTTTTCAAAGCTCTTTCCAACTTTTTTCTTTCTGTCTTTTTCAACTTAGACTCATATTCTTTAGTGTTTTGCTTTAAAAGTTCTAACTTTACCTTCTTTCGAGATAAATATTTTTTATACCTTTGTGAACCAGGCTTTCCCATTTTTTTCTAAAATTAGTTATAGTCTGAAAGCAAAAAGGAACAAAAAATCATAAAATATAGTTACACAAGTATAAAATAAACTTATTCAAGAAGTAATCCAATTGTCACGGAAGGACACACATTCATTGTCACGGAAGGATACCAAATTCAATCCCTATAAAAATGTTTACGATGAATTTGGCTTAAGCTGCAATTAAATCTTAGTAGAGTCCTTAAAATCTAATACTCTGTAGAATTTAAGAAAGTCTGCACTTATACAACCGATAAGAAAAAACTTTTTACTCAAAATTCGTCATGGAAGGATTCATACTTTTTGTATAAAATGTAATGCATTTTCTAACATTGTCATCAATGCTAAGAAAATGTAAATCTTTTTTTGAAACACATCATACTTGGGTATTTTTAAAAAAATAGTGAAATCCTTCATAAAAGTTAGATACATTCTAGATCTTCCAAGTTTAATTTATTCTGTTTGTTCTTCCGAGACAATGAACAAGGTTATAGGTTGACATTAAAGAGTTAATGAAGGGCAACTAAAAGTCCTATATTTATCTTTAAGATTAAAATTGTAAATTTAACTATTCTGCTAATGAAAAATGAATGTTGGAACACTAAGAACATTTTTTTGTTCATGTTTTATGTCACTACTTTTCAACCATGCTCTATTGTGAACATTTTAAAGCTTTTAAAATACGTAATAGTCATCGAACAATTCATGATCGAATAAAATACTTAATGAATATACAAGGAAAAATACTGGCTTTGGTTTATAAAAATGTCTTTTTTTTTCTTAGACCTCGAAATTTTTTTTCAATGGTGTTATTTTCTGAAAGTAGAGGTCAGTGCAGATTCAAAATATTCACATGACCCTGGGACATTTTTTATGTATATTTATATATATATATATATATATATATATATATATATATATATATATATATATATATATATATATATATATATATATATATATATATATTTATATATATACAAATATATAAATATATATATATATATATATATATATATATATATATATATATATATATATATATATATATATATATGTAAACATATATATATATATATATATATATATATATATATATATATATATATATATATATATATATATATATATATATATATATATATATATATATATATATATATATACTACCGACAAAAAGTTTGAGGCAGGTACTAATTATAGTACCTGCCTCAAACTTTTTGTCGGTATTAAATTTTTTGTCTTAATTAAATAAAATTGCTAAATAAATAATATGATTTGTACTTTAATGATAATGAATACAAAAACTAATAAATATTAAACATTTTTTATTATAAATTTTTAATTATAATTGTTATTTTACTTAAATTTTTGATTTGTCGAAATATCCTCTTTTATTCTTTATTACAACGGCACAAATCTTTATCATTCGATTTATCAATTTACGTAGTGTTTCGGATTGTATTA